ACTGAAAGACAGACGTGCATACCTCCTGAAAGCAAACAAAGACTAGTGGCATTTGCTTTATTTGAGCTTCCAGCTGGAGAGGACAAACGACGACACGTCACCGCCACACTCACCATCTCTCCTTCGTAGGTCAGACACTCGGCAAACACACGGTCTACAAAAACGGGACTCAGCGTCCCAGTACCGTACCTGAACAGGAACACAGCACACGGCAGCAGCAGCAAACACATCACACATTACACACACACACACACACACACACACACACACACACACACATGCACACACACACACACACACACACACACACACACACACACACACACACACACACACACACACACACACACACACACACAACAAACACACACACACACACGCACGCACGCATGCACGCACACACGCACGCACACACACGCACACACACACACACACACACACGCACACACACACATATACACAGAGGTATTCTGACTATTTTGACTATGTTAGTACCTATGACGGTCATTTGCTGGTGAGGTGGACGGACTACACTAAGTACACACGAGCTATGCACCAGACACATTAGTAAACACAGCAGTAAGGAAGTAAATTATCGTGTCCGTTCCCGAAGGGAACTCACGACGGCTGCTAACACCCGGTAAACCCTAGCGGCAGATGCAGCGCCTAACGGTGGGGGTGAGTGGATACGTCTCACAACCATTGGCACAAGTGCCGAGAAACCCCATTAGCCGCATCCATGTACCCCTTGTGCCTGGCCACAAGTTCCCAGTTGACCGTGGCTAGCAGCACGGCTGGAAAAACCGCTCCCAGGCAGGACTTGAACCAGGTACCTCTCGTATCAGCGACGGGAGTAAATACAGCAGTGACAAGAGTAAACATATCAATGATGGGAGTACTAGTACACAAGCAACCCCCCCCCCCCCCCCTCCCCCCCACACCCACACACACACCCACACACACACCCACACACACACCCACACCCACAGATAGCTCACCCCATCAGCTCTTGCTCGCTGAGCATGCCGTTGTGGTCGAGGTCCAATGCCAAGTACTGACCTGGGAGCGTGAACACGAGACAAACACAACAGACCAGACAAGAACAATTCAAACACATGAACACACACAACACGACAAACACACACATGACAAACACACACACATGACAAACACACACATGACAAACACACACATGACAAACACACACATGACAAACACACACATGACAAACACACACATGACTACTACTACTCAGGTATACTACTAGTATGTGCATCACGTCCTTCCCTATCTTTCTTGCCGTGCTTTGTCTGTGCACACGTCCACACCACCAAGGTCGGCTGAACAGCAGGGCCCCGTCACCACTTTCCGCATTTATTCGGGACCATAAGTGTCCTGACTACACCATAGCTCAGTGGTTAGAGCATCGCTAGCTACAAGCCAGGGTCCCTGGTTCCAGTCCTGGTGGTGACAGTCAATTTTTTCTTCAGACTTTTCCCGTTTGTCTCTTTCCCTCAAACTAGTGAAGATAAGTGGACTAAGAAAAAAATAAAAATATAATCACTCAATCTGCGGACAGCATGCTGTTTCGTTCTTTTTGAACTCATCAGCGCAGCACAGAGGAAATGAGGCCGAACCTGATAGCAATGAAAATAAAAATTTCCAATCAGGCCCGAACGTACCTTGCCAGAGTGCTCAAACTGACAAGTCAGTGAGCTCTGCGTAATGCAAACAGCAAAGGCACTACCCCACATGAGAGTGCTCAACTACTACAAGAGCAGGAGCGAAAATACTAACTAAAATAAATCACTGAACTCCTAATGCCTAGAGCTGGACTGGATAAAACGAGGGTCGAACAAGCAACGAATTTTCAAACCTGCGGGCCCAGAACGTGAAATAGAACACGTCCAATAATGATGTTGTCCTGCACATATGGGTTTGTGAAACTGTAGACGGTCGCGTGGCCCAACGGACAAGGCGCCTGACTACGAATCAGGAGATTCCAGGTTCGAATCCTGGCGTGATCGCATTTTCTCGTTTTTTTTTCATGAAAGTGCCTACGCATGCCCACATAGAGAATACTAGTAGCAAGAGTGCATAAACAAGAGTATGCAACTGTGGTTATGGCCCAGTGCGCGGCGCGCTGCCTTCATTACGTAACTTGCCTTCATCACGCTCTGAAAGCATGCATTCAAACTCACAATTTCTCGTACGAGCCCATCCGTTTTTGCTCGATTCGTTCCAGTACCTACGCGATCTCTGAAGTCTGGCGCGTGAACTCCAGTTGCGTACGAAAGTTCATTTCAAACCAGAGGGAAAGTGCGGTGTTTGATTTTCCGCAGTGCCCGGACTGCAGCTGAATGATGTAATGAAGGCAGCGCGCCGCGCATCTGGCCCATAGAAAAGAGATCACAGTTGCATACTCTTGTTTATGGACTCTTGCTAGTAGCAGAGAACAACAACGACAACAAATAATGTGGACTTCCATTGCTTCCTCTTTTTTGCACGGCCGATTTATCGCCACGACAGTGCTGCTCAATGAAATCCGGTCTCTAAAACCAAAAATGTTATTTCTCCTTCCCTGCTCACTTTGTATTCTCATATTCTCATTCTAACTGTACAGAAATGGAGACCCCCTCGATAGGCCTAAACATCCTCTGGGGAATCCTTGAAATCAATAATACAAATTATACAAAAATTGTGAAATGTGTGCTTCTAGCCCTGAGCCACTTCACGTCCCAGTGTTTGCACATCTAGGGACCGCACAGCGCCCGACCCGGCGTGGCGCAAGCAAAACTTCCTAATGCTGAGTTTGGCTCTTCACACCACGCCCAAAGTGTGGTGTACGTGACGTTTTCCTCCGAATAGCAGTGACAACATGGAACTTGGCGGGGAAAATCGAACGCCTGATACAAAAACGCAGACGGAGTATCCAAACCCCTCCATTAGCCGCATCCATTGTACCCCTTGTGCCTCGCCACAAGTTCCCACTTGACTGTGGGTAGCAGCATGAATGCAGCGCATGAATACTCAGGAAAATATTACCGGAGACCAAACGGACCCCAGTATACCGGGAACGGAAGAAAAAAAGTCAAAGTGGATTGAGGGTTACAATGGGAGGTATGTATCTAAGATGGCCGTCACCTTTGGGCCGGGGCAAGTTACCCCATACTTGGCAGGTACAACCCGTTATAGTACATTTCAGAGTATGACGTCACAAAGTTCATGATCTTTTATTTAGAGTTGGTATGACAGTGTGTACGGTTGTAGTGGACTTGCCATGCAAAACCTAACGGCGGTGGGAAATGGATGCATACGTCTCAACGCCAACAAGTGTTTCACAGAACAACCTACCGTATACCCTCAGAGCGTGCGGTGCTGAAAACCAGTTACAACGTTGCTGGTCGGCCGTCAGCTTGTCGTCGCGTAGCTACAGACATGCACGCCAACGACAAGGAACACACCGACGTGCCCATGTGTGAGCGGGGTAGTTAGTGAGTGTGTGTGGGTGTGGGGGGGGGGGGGGGGGTGCATGTGTGTGAGGGGGGGGGGGGGGGGGGAGGGGGGGGGAGACACTAATGAACACGACTCTGCACCGCAAATAGACGCACACACACATAAGCACGCAAATTACATACGCGTACTCACATGCACAGATATACTTTGAAGTACGCACACGTAAACACACGTAAAGACACGCACGCACGCGCACACACACACACACGCGCACACCAGCGCTGCCACACTTCGAGGGATTAACACGCATGCACTCGCTATTGCAGACCAGTGGAGAGCACACATCATATGGAGGATTCATGGAGTGCTGGGCAACCGAATCTGGCATGTGATAATCACGCACGTCCACGCACGAGGTGCAGCCCATGAAATGGGCACCCATGAAATGGGCACCCATGAACTGGGCGGAGTGTGGACAGCCTGTATGATAGTGTGTATGTATGTCCACGCACAAAGTGCAGCCCATGAGATGGGCGCCCATGAAATGGACGGAGTGTGGACGGCCCACGCACACGAGGTGCAGCCCATGAAATGGGCACCCATGAACTGGGCGGAGTGTGGACGGCCTGTATGATAGTGTGTATGTATGTCCACGCACAAAGTGCAGCCCGTGAGATGGGCGCCCATGAAATGGACGGAGTGTGGACGGCCCACGCACGAAGTGCAATGCCCGTTAGGAGGCAGGAGTGTGGGAGTATGAGTGTGATGGCCGAAGGCCGTGATAATTGCCAGATGAGAGGAGATAGCTGGCCCAGCACTCCTATTTATTTTCGTCTTGTATGAATTATGATACCTGTGTTGAATCAAGGATATCAATTTTATTCATAGATGGGAAGAGGTGGGTGGGTGAGAAAGGAACAAACCGGTGTTCTTCTCACTACCCAAGCAAAGCAAATATGAAGTAGCAATGTGGCCAGCGCAAAGTATGGTGTATGCGTTACGGGTTCAAGCTCCGATGTGTGCTGCAGCCGCATATGGCTGGTTGGCTGGCGAGTTCAGGTGAGTTCCGGAGTACGCATGTTACATGCCACCACAGCGTGCATGTACGTGTTACTTGACATGCATCAATGAATAGCGTGGGATCTGCGGGCTCTTTGGAAGCCGCGGGAGCGCGTGTGAAGTGGTGGCTTGTGCAATGTGTTAACCTACATTACCGCAAGCTCTAATGTGCTATAAAAATATGATGGGGGTCCGGGGGTGTCCCCCGGCGGGGGTTCAGGGGGCAGGGCCCCGCGATGAATTTATTTTAGGAAAGTGGCTTGCTGTTGGGGCCCCAGAACACATGTTTAATTGTCCAGCACACGCACTACAACCTTGTCAATTATGCAGACCGGCCAAACGCGACCTGGAAGCGCGGAATTAATGGCCAACTGGACTAAAAAGCGCTCAAAATAAAATAATCGGTTGTCCCTCTTTGGGAACAAAATCGGTCGGTTTGTCGGACAAGCGATCAAAAATCCGACGATTTCCGAAAAATCAGAGCAAGTGGCAGCCCTGACACACACACACACACACATGCGCATGCACACACATACACATACACACACACACACAATGGGCCCCACCACCACACTCCATTATTCACCCCAGGGTCTGGAGATAAGTGGATTTTGTCGAGAGAGAAAAAACACACACACACAGAAGCACACCTGAAGTAGCTCGTCAAGAAACTTGCAGGACATGATGTCTTGCACCTTCACCTTGCCTGCAGACACACACACACACACACACACACACACACACACAAAGACAGAATTCAGTTGCAGTTAGTCATCGCGTGCATGCGTGTGGTTGGAGCATACACGAATTGGCGTCGCGTAGCTTGTTTATCAATATGTATACCGAGTACGTGCCACAGGAACAACCGCAAGACCGGCAAGACGCGTTTGCTGTGCAGTGAAGCCGAGACCCTAGGTCGGTGGAGCACATCAGACCCCGTCACCACGTCCACGATTCATGCCTGCGGTGATGCACCGCTGCTTTGCATGTCATGATTGAAAGCTGTGGCCTTAGTAAAAAAATAAACACACACTCACACACACACCTGTCCTCAGCGGGTCAAGGAAGAAGAAGAACTTGCGCACGGCGGTGCAGACGAAGAATGAATAGAACGAGTCTTCCAGGCCATTCAACTGAGAGAGAGAGATATAGAAATACGCACACATACAAACACACACACACACACGCACGCACACACACACACACACACACACACACACACACACACACACACAAGCACATATCGGAAATCTTTTATTTCAATGAGCTGCGCATAGTGAGGGGCGGTGCTGATTTCCTTTCTCTCGTAGCCCTTCGGCCTCTCCAGCAGGTTCCAAATTCCACATGGGTCTCCTGAGGGTTGGCAATACTCTAGACTGGACCTCAGGTGCAAATAACAGATTTTACGGTCCTCGGTGTTACCTTTACTGAAGGCTCACAATACCACCTCACAATAATGCCTCAGCGTACGACAACGCAAAACTCGTACAGTCCCAGATCTCGTTTATTCGGTTGTCTGTTATCTGCCTCCCTTGCCCACCCAGAGTAATAAAGTTTCGGAGAATATCCACAGCTAACACCTGGGTCTCTCTCTCTCTCTCTCTCTCTCTCTCTCTCTCTCTCTCTCTCTCTCTCTCTCTCTCTCTCTCTCTCTCCTCCTCCTCCTCCCCCCCCCCCACCCTGTGTCACACTGTATTTGGCACCTACCTGAGGAAGAGTGGGAATCAGCTCCAGGATGTAGTTTTCAAAATCCTACGCCACACAAATCATATGCATACGTGCACACACACGCACGCACGCGCGCACACACACACACACACACACACATGTCCATGCATGCACATTATTATTATTATTATTATTATTCTCGTATCCGTCCCGAAAGGGACTCACGACGGCAGAATTAACCGTGAGCATGTGTGTGTGAGAGTGGGAGAACGAAATGAAAAAGAAAAGAAGAGTCTTGTAATAACTGTCAAATTTAAGAAGAGCAGTACTAGACTAAATGGCTGAGCAGATGTTACTCCATTGTTTTCTGTCGCGGGCATAGGTGCCGAGATCACGAAGGCAGCTGGGCTTAAAAATGCAGATAGGTGTGAGGCGGACGTCTCGCTGGAGACTTGTGGTGAGGCAAGAGCGGGGTGCACCTATTCGAAAGGGCTGACTGGTAGCATATGTACAGAAAGCAGTGAGAGCAACATTTGCAGGGATGTCACTTGGCTGGCGTAATATATGTCCTAATAGCTTCCACCTGTCCCGCTTGGCCATTTCAGATACAGAGCACTGGCCAGTAACAGCGTATAAATCTGCATTCGAGATGACATCTGGGTAGGTTATTCCAAGGGTACACCGCAGCTGTTTCCTATGAAACACATCTAGGCGCTTTTCTTGTGCACGGGACAGGCCATGGCAAGCAAGGTTGTAGGTCAAGATTGGTAGAACGAAAGTGTTGTATAAACGAATTTTGATGGGTGTAGAAAGCAGGTTGTGTTTGAACCATAACTTCAGAGTGTCTCCAAATGCTCTTGCGGCCAAGCCAATACGGCGTGTTACGTCCTCCCCGGAGCCGTATAGCGAGCCGAGTGTCTTCACCTGTCGCCAAGCTTCTTTACCACGAGTTGTGCCGACCTTTCTAGATGTTGTAGAGGTGGCATCTCCCAAAGTGGGTTCCAGGTAAATACGGATCCACTCAGTCTTACTGGTATTGACGGTAAGACCCCATTCGGAGAAGACGCCTGCGATGACGGGTAGGGCGCTGGTAAGGAATGATTTTGATGTGGAGATGAAGTCTACGTCATCGGCGTAAGCTGTTTCTTCAGGTAGAATGTTGTCTGCTGATGGTCGGGCTGGCAGTCGGTCACGTACCATTCGTAGGGCTGCTTCCAAATAAACCGTGAACAGTACCGGTGACAAACCATCGCCCTGGGGGACCCCCCGAGCTGTCTCAAAAGGTGCGGACTGTGCTTCGTTCACGCGAACTGTCAGCGCCGTGCCAGATAGCAGGTACCTAACCAGTCGTAAACCGTCCGCGTCTGCCATGCACAAACACATGCATACACATGTTTAACAGCTGTCTAAAATTCATACTCTAAAACCGGGAATTTTCGGTATTTCCCAAAATCAACGGTTCGGTAGCGCAAAAATTCGGTAAACCAGCTTTCCAGATCCAAAAATGCATTTTGCACACTGTTTGGCATGGCACGCGTATCAATTAGGATTCTTGTGCGTACCGTACTGCAGTGGGCATGTATGTATGTATGTATGTATGTATGTATGTATGTATGTATGTATGTATGTATGTATGTATGTATGTATGCATGTATGTATGTATGTATGTATGTATGTATGTATGTATGTATGTATGTATGTATGCATGCATGCATGCATGCATGTATGTATGTATGTATGTATGTATGTATGTATGTACCAGCTAGTTCGGTTGGTGGGTACACTTATGCCTGATTGTGTTGGGTCTGTTGCCAACGGTCTTGGCTACTTGAAGGTGTAATGTTGTACCTGCCACCTTTGTTGGTTCCAGGGTTCATATACTTTCTATTTGAAGTATACATACCTGTTAACCATGGACTGCTTCTGGCTAGATTAACTCTTGTGTAATCAATGGTGCTAGTGAAGCTAATATCAGATCCACTCTGATTTAGTCACCCACACTAGTAGCACGTATTACCTTCACTGGGGGCAGGGGTAACTGCAGTTGGATCCCAGGACGGATACGCTGATGCCGTCAATCCTTTTTCTGCACCTTGTCCTCACCCACTTACTGAGGTGTGGTGAGCCCATAAGTGGGATCATTTTCAAGTCCACCCAGAGTTTTGGGGATTTCAGGGGGTGTCGGCCGTTGGGCGGTTCAATAGCCAATTGAGTCATCTTTCCAAGATTCCTTTTGAGTCTCTCTCCCCTCTCCCGGGGAGACCCACGTGACCAGTTTTGGCAGTGTGCAACAAGTACAAGTACAAGTATGTATGTATGTATGTATGTATGTATGTATGTATGTATGTATGTATGCATGTATGTATGTATGCATGTATGTATGTATGTATGGATGCATGTATGTATGTATGTATGTATGTATGTATGTATGTATGTATGCATGCATGCATGCATGTATGTATGTATGTATGTATGTATGTATGTATGTATGTATGTATGTATGCATGTATGTATGTATGTAAGTATATGTATGTAGACTACTAGCACTGTAAAGTACCGCCAGAGCGCCCCACCATCTCATCCTTTCATGGTCGTCTTCTGGACGTGGTTTCCTATCGGTAGGTCATACGACACGGACCTTGTACACACATTGCACGTTGTGCAGTCAATCCGCAACCAGTTTATCTTCGGGCGGATGCGAGCTCCACATAAAAACATGCCAAGTGTTACCTTGGTACAAGTGTTACCTTGGTACAAGTGTTACCTTGATACAAGTGTTACCTTGGTACAAGTGTTACCTTGATACAAGTGTTACCTTGGTACAAGTGTTACCTTGGTACAAGTGTTACCTTGGTACAAGTGTGACCTTGATACACTAAGGTTCTCACAACGTACACACTTAGCAGCATTCTGCCATACGGTTTTCTTCCCTTGCCTGTAAAATCAAGGTGGGGCGGTCTCGTGAGACGGGGCGCTCTCGCGAGACGGGGCGCTCTCGCGAGACGGGGCGCTCTCGCTAGACGGGGCGCTCTCGTGAGACGGGGCGCTCTCGCGAGATGGGGCGCTCTCGCGAGACGGGGCGCTCTCGTGAGACGGGGCGCTCTCGCGAGACAGGGAGCTCTGGCGGTACTTGACGGTACTAGTACTAAAGTCAACTTTGCGTATAACGACACTCGGCGGCGGGGCGTCAGAAAAGTGTCCTTATTGGCCAAGTGTCCTTATACCCGAAGTCTCATTATATGTATTACAGTTGGATGGGACTTTGCTCTGGGCATGGAAATTCTGTCGTTATTCGCGAATTGTCGTTATATCCGCAGTTGTTATTAGCCAAGTTGAGTGTAGTGCATGTGTCGTGACCCCGAGAATCGGGCGCACTTACAGCACTACAGCCGTCGCCAACTAAATCCGTCCAATGCCATGCTAGCTACCGGTAGCTGTACGGTGGTGCATGGGCCGCATGCACTGCCACTGCTAGCACCGGTACTAGCCTACAAATCAGTGCACGGCACATGCCCTGCTGCCGGCCGCCGGGCCTGCATTCACTCACTCAGTACATGAAGACTAGAACCGAGAACCACTGGAGCATGCACTGTTCTATACCTGATTTACCAGCAGCGGGAACAGCAGCACCAGCAGAGCCAGACCAAGTCATGGTGGTCACACGTGGTGATGATGATCCGAGTGAGCTTACAGCACATGGGCAGAGTCCCCAATGTGTGCCTGGGGTACACAATGATCATGTGTAGTTGTAAACTTACGACTTCAAGGAGAACCCCGGTGCCGTGCGAGTCGTACAGACTCAGGCCTATGCGCGTCTGCTGCAGCCAGACTGTAATGCAGAGATGGAGAGATGTGCACACACGTACACATACACACACACACAGTATCCTGTTCAGCCGTTCAACACTGTAGGTGAGTGTGGCCTAGGTCAGTGCGTGCCAACACATATGTTCATACTTACAAACACTGTCCTTCAATAGACACCGTGCAACATCAATACAGAACATCACAAAACAACATGCAAGTTTACTAGTTTAGGCTATATTCATTCAGGATATTGTTTATGCGCACACAGATCTGACGTTAAGGGGTTCAAAACTTGTCCAACTTTTCCAACGTTCACGAACGCTTACGTCACAGTGCTCTCAAACTAATAAGATGAAATAGAAAATGACCTATAAGCTACTAGTTATGACTGACAGTGACAGACTAAGGTAAGGAGATATTATACACAGTCATATAGGTCCTTTTCTCTTTACATATTACTATTGGCTCAATACCCGAGTTTTTAATAACATGAAATTCAAACCTCCTTACCTTTTCTCATTATGTAGGCATACAGGCGACTGATGGGTAACCTGGGAGAGAGAGAGAGAGAGAGAGAGAGAGAGAGAGAGACGAGGAGGTACGAGAAAGACATTGATACACAAAGAGACAGACAGACAGACAGACAGACAGACAGACAGACAGACAGACAGACAGACAGACAGACAGACAGACAGCAGACAGACAGCAGACAGACAGACACACAGAAATGAAGAAAGACGGAGAGACAGATAGGCACATCAGTGGCTGATCCATTGCTGGCCTGAAGAGGGAGCCCGCCTTTTTTTAAAGATATACAGTCGACTCCACGTATAACAGACTCGCACATACATATAGCAAATTACGGGATATAGCGAACCAGTGTCCATGTCCCTGTTTGAACCCGCACAAAGCTGACCCTTTATAGCGAACAGTTTCGGTTATAACAAACCAAACATTGTAGGGCCGTATGTAAACCAGGTGCATTCATTCTGTCGTGGGCCACTTGCAAGTCATGACTTGCTGCTTGTATGGTGTGAGTGCATTTCTGTCATAAGGAACTTCGGCTATAAAGAACTAATTCTCCTGCACAATGGTGTTTGTTATATCAGGAGTCAAAGGCTGCACGTACGGTAAGCTCCACAGTGTCAACACTTCTCAAAAGGTTGAAAGTGCAGAAGTGCCAGGCACTTAGTCCGTAAGGGCGACAGGGAGCATGCCCCCCCCCCCCCCCCCCAAACCCCACCCTAAAAGCTTTCGACCCTCACTCAGTATGTGAATGCTTGTGCCTAATGGCCTAGGCATCGCAGTTCACAGTACGTGCTGTGAATGCAGAATCCAGGGCCAGTGGCCAAAGTCCACTTGTACGTGTACCGAAAATAAAACTTGTATGCGTAGCTAGCTTTAGCTAAGCTGTACAGCTGCATGGCTGCATGGCTGTACTCTAGAACAGCTTACCGGCCACGAGGGTCTTGCTGCTAGAGCTTTGCATACACCATGGGAGTGAAGTAAGAGCTGCATGAACCATGGCAATAACCATGAGAAAAACAATGAGAATGACGACGAGAATGATGTTAGCAACAACAAACATCAACGGCAATGGCAACAGCAGCAGCACCAGCAGCAGCAATAATAACAGCAGCATCACCACCACCACCACCGCCAACAACAAGTGAGAATAAAGAAATCAAACAACACCTCTTATCGGCCACTGGTCATCGTGAGAATAAATTCAAACCACGAGGACGACAGCGGCAGTGACGGTGATGGGGGAGGGGAGGGGGGTATGGGGAGAGGCTGGTGCAAAGGTGACCGACCGGAAGGCCCAGCTACAGCCTTACCTGAACTTTTCGCCGGCCTCTTGGCCTACGCGCACAAAGTCGTCAAAATTGATCATCTGTATTGGGGAGAGAGAGAGAGAGAGAGAGAGAGAGAGAGAGAGAGAGAGAAATAAACGGACACACGTGTGACCGTTTCACCACTAGGTGAGAGCTGGTCGAGCTGAACACTTTTGGCTATGAACTCTTGGTTATTTGACAACAGGGCAAGCTTCACTGACCCACGCTCCACGTGCAGTTCACACACTGACCACCACAGCGGCGGATCAACAGAACACCAACAACTCACCTTCTCTTCATTCTCCTGACTGGAGTATTGCGTCTGTAGAAGAGCCCAGACAACCTGGGTAACGGACAACAAACACCAGGGGCGTCAGAAGGTATTTTAGTGTGCTACGCTCAGACATCTCAACTGTACTATTTATGCGCGAGAGAGGCTGAGCTGAAAATTTTGGAAATTCAGAGCTCAAATCAGTGCATTTTATTGATTCATGGGGTACTCGGGGCAAAGAGTGGTACGGTCAATACCGTAGTGACCGTACCGTGTGCGACGCCCCTGAACACCCGAAGGTTTAGTTGTCTGATGATTGCCGACGGGCATGAAACTACTAGCTGCCGCGAATGATCAGATGCGTGGTGCTCCGTGTCGTGTGTAAGAGATAGCTCTATTCAAATGAATATTGCGCACTCTACCTAGCCTGAGGACTCTCAATTGTTTGGCACGAAGTATAACATTGACGAAATCGGCAAAGGCAACAACGATGACGACGACGGCGGCGGCGGCGACGACAACAACAACAACGATGTCTTATTGGCGATGGTGCCATCGTGAGAATAAAGAATTCAAAATCAACAACAACAACAACAACAACAACAACAACAACAACAACAACAACAACAACAACAACAACAACAACAACAACAACAACAACAACAACAACAACAACAACAACAACAATACCAGCAGCAGCACTGGAGGCGGCAGCAATGGCAGAGATAATAGGAATAAGTGAGTGTGGAAAATGTGTCAGTTGTCAGTAAGTAATTCAAACGTGCGTAGGCACGTTCACGCACACACACACACAGAGTGGGTGTCGACGCACCCGTAAGATTTCGAATGCACGTGAATGGCCCAAATCCAACTCAACAAGTGGGGAAAGCAGCCATACTCAGTGACTCGGTGACTGAGTGACTCAGTGACTGAGTGACTCGGTGACTGAGTGACTCAGTGACTGAGTGACTCAGTGTCTCAATACAGCGCAGCACTATACACTATACAGTATACTGTAAAAACAGAAATTTTCGGTGGTGGAATATTTTCGGTATTCTCCAAAATCGGCGGTTCGGTGGAGAGAAATTTTCGGTAAAACCCGTTTTCCAGGTAAGTGTACTAGTACTACATGTATACAGTACTACAGTGTAGTATCGGTTGTACCGAAATTTTCGGTGCGTTTTATTATCGGTAAAAATTGTCGGCACCGAAGTTACCGAAAATAAAACACCACCGAAAATTTCTGCTAAGGGGCCGTCCGTAAATGTCGATAGTTTTTACAATCCGTGAAATTTTCGTACCTGGGTGGTGGGTGCAGCCGAAATTCAAAGTAAATAAAATATCGATGACACGCAGACCTGGCGCCCAGTACTGCGTGTGCGTGGGTCTGCGTGCGTCGAACCACACGTACACGTAGATTGTTGTCTCCAAAAAATGTAGTGGAGATCGAAACTCTTGAAGCAAAAGAAAGAGGGAAGTTTGTCAGATATTATTCACAAGTATAATTATTGCACAATTATTCGAAGGACCACAATACCTGATTAATCCGGGTCAAGTCCAGCTCTTATTTGAACTCCACATCGAAGAATTGCTACATCGCCAATGGTTAGAACAGTTCCCATGTGGAGCGTGGCCTAACGAAAATGGCACGGCAGACTACTTTGTTTGGTACAGCTGCCTAACGAAAATGGCACGCATGACTACTTTGTTTGGTACAGCTGCCAAAAAAGATAAGTTTTTCAAAGAGCTTGACAGCCCTTGTGAAGACGACGATGGCTACTACGCCGTCATCGAGGCCTTGTGGACTGTTGAAACGTCCAATAATCGATCTGCAATTTCACCAAAGCACAGAAGCAGTGGATGGAGACGTTTTCCGCAGACCCGCAGGCAAGGTCGGAGATCATCCAAAAGGCCAATTCACTCAGAGCGAAGGACGGGCAGAAGCTAGGAAGTAGCATTGTAGTCATACGCTGTATGGTTTCTTATGTATTCAGCAATGCATGTGCTTGCTGGATTGATTGCCCATAAAGGGTATGATGTATTTGGAATGAGCTGAAGACCAAGTGATTCTTGGACAACAATAAGTCTGCCAAAATACATTGCTGTACTCTAGTTATGAATGACACGGTGAGCGCATGCCTGCGTGTGTATGGACTCCATGGACTCCACCTACATTTATGTAGGTACAGTACATGTGTCATCAATATTTTATTCCGTAAAAAGTAGGGGGGTGGGTGGTGGGTCCTGGTTACTTTGTAAAATTCACGGATTGAAAAAACTATCGATATTTACGGATGGCCCCTAAAGTATACACTCACATCAAGGTCGCTGTTCGTCAACATCTCCTTGCTAAGACGCTGCACATGATGTGCTCTGAACGCAAACAGAAAAAACAAGAACGGGCACACACACGCGCGCGCACGCAAACACACAGCACATACACACACACACACACACACACATGCACACACACACACACGTCCAATGACCACACATACACACACACATACACACACACACGCAGGCGCACACGCACCCAAAACCGAGCATGCGTGGTTGAACACTAGCGTACAGAAATGCAAAACAGAGTACAAATTTTACATCAGAGTGCACATTGTATAACATTTTCTCACGAGACGAGCAAAGCATGACATCATCATAATAATCATAGCATGCTTACCGTGCTTCCTCTCTCACTCTCATACGGACTGCATCGTTCTCATCCGGACACTGAACAGTGTAGAGCAAACACATACGAGCAGACAAAGAATACTGTAAAAGCAGAAATTTTCGGTGGTGTTTTATTTCGGTAACTTCGGTGCCGACAATTTTTACATAAAATAAAACGCAACCGAAAATGTCGGTATTAGTATACTTACCTGGAAAATGGGTTAACCTAAAATTTCCCTCCGCCGAAACGCCAATTTTGGAGAATACCGAAAAAACTACACCATCGAAAATGTCTGCTTTTACAGTGCGCGTGTGTGCCCACGCAGGCATAGAACATACTGTCAGGCCTGCCACCTTTCTGGGAGTAAAAGATGCCCCGCCGAGTGTCGTTATACGCAAAGTTGACTATTTATTATTTGTAATAAGTTTTCCATTTGACCCGACGAGACCATGCGACGCTTGCAGACAACAGCACGAACAGTTCACCAGCCACACTCCACGAAAGCAAGTAGTATTACTCCTGACAAGTCTTGTTTCGTTCCATAAAGATGATGGGGAACTCATCAGAGGAGAAGCAGTTGTTGAATGATGGAGTTAAGCTGAGCTGAATAATGGCAGTGGCGGTTTAGGGGGGGGGGGGGGGGCGCGCGCCCCCCCCCCCTCAAAAATTTCGACCTAGGTTTCGAAAAATAAAAGGCAGCTGCGCAGGGCGCCGGGCCGGTCTAGCTAGACTAGGCTCGGCGCGCGCGCGACCTGAAACAATTGTCCAAAAGCGGTTGCACGGTACGGTGCTCGAGCTGGTGTTGATTGTACTGTACACTACAGACTACAGACTAGTATAGTACTGTACACTACAGACTACAGACTAGTATAGTACTGTACACTACAGACTACAGACTAGTATAGTACTGTACACTACAGACTACAGACTAGTATAGTACTGTACACTACAGACTACAGACTAGTATAGTACTGTACACTACAGACTACAGACTAGTATAGTACTGTACACTACAGACTACAGACTAGTATAGTACTGTACACTACAGACTACAGACTAGTATAGTACTGTACACTACAGACTACAGACTAGTATAGTACTGTACACTACAGACTACAGACTAGTATAGTACTGTACACTACAGACTACAGACTAGTATAGTACTGTACACTACAGACTACAGACTAGTATACTGTACTGTACACTACAGACTACAGACTAGTATAGTACTGTACACTACAGACTACAGACTAGTATAGTACTGTACACTACAGACTACAGACTAGTATAGTACTGTACACTACAGACTACAGACTAGTAGTACTGTACACTACAGACTACAGACTAGTATAGACTGTACACTACAGACTACAGACTAGTATAGTACTGTACACTACAGACTACAGACTAGTATTGTACTGTACACTACAGACTACAGACTAAGTATAGTACTGTACACTACAGACTACAGACTAGTATAGTACTGTACACTACAGACTACAGACTAGTATAGTACTGTACACTACAGACTACAGACTAGTATAGTACTGTACACTACAGACTACAGACTAGTATAGTACTGTACACTACAGACTACAGACTAGTATAGTACTGTACACTACAGACTACAGACTAGTATAGTACTGTACACTACAGACTACAGACTAGTATAGTACTGTACACTACAGACTACAGACTAGTATAGTACTGTACACTACAGACTACAGACTAGTATACTGTACTGTACACTACAGACTACAGACTAGTATAGTACTGTACACTACAGACTACAGACTAGTATAGTACTGTACACTACAGACTACAGACTAGTATAGTACTGTACACTACAGTCTACAGACTAGTGTAGTACTGTACTGTACAGTGTACAGAGTAGAGTCTACGTACAGTGAGCATATGCACGGCTACAGAAACACGGTGACCATGGTGACCTGACTGTGTACTGTTGAGTGTTGTAGAGTGTGATCCCTGCTGGACGCGCTCGACGCGTCTTCAACGGTACAAACATCGAAGAAAAGTCTTCGATCGAGTCAACCAAAACACGATTCGAATGCCGAGGGCTCAGGCGATCATCCTCGTTCGAATCGTGTTTTGGTTGACTCGAAGGCCTGACCTGGGACAGTAGCATGATGTCATGTACCCCCACCCCATCCCGCCTTGACCCCCCCCCCCCCCCCCCCCCCCCCCCCCCCCTCAGCCAAATCCTGGACACGCCACTGTAATGTTATTTTATAGAGAAGATACCAACGCAAGGTGTAAGCACTCAACTATCTCACATATGTGACAAATCAACACAAAGAGGAATAGTGCAGAATGGAGGTGTTATGAACCCTACCATACTTAACTATCACAAGTGCTAAATCGATCACAATGAGAAGGAGAGGTACACAGGCATAGGTTGCGCTAGTTTACACGTCACAAAGAGTACTGAGGTGGTGACAAAGATAGGTGAAAAGTAGACGCCAAGTGAAGGCCAACAAATCATCACGGACGTCTAACGTCACATCTGAAGATTGCTGACTGCACAAGACAAATACTTCACGAACCTCGATGATTGAAATTCAGCTTCAGCCAACGGTAGGTGAAAGGAAGGCTGCTGGGTGTGACATAGAACTGTGGGCTGCTGAGGCGACGTATCCATCTAGATCTTGACTGCAGGGTTGGCGTCTAACGCTATAATCCGAGCAGCAGATCACATCCTTCCTCTGACAATGGCAGGTTTCCTGGTCCAGGATAAGTCATAATTCTTTGTTGCCATCTTCCGTAGAACTGTGGGCGGCTGAGGCGACGTATCCATCTAGATCTTGGCTGCAAGGTTGGCGTCTAACGCTATAATCCGAGCAGCAGATCACATCCTTCCTCTGACAATGGCAGGTTTCCTGGTCCAGGATAAGTCATAATTCTTTGTTGCCATCTTCCGTAGAACTGTGGGCGGCTGAGGCAACGTATCCATCTAGATCTTGGCTGCAAGGTTGGCGTCTAACGCTATAATCCGAGCAGCAGATCACATCCTTCCTCTGAAAATGGCAGGTTTCCTGGTCAAGGAGAAGTCATAATTCTATGTTGCCATCTTCCATAGAACTGTGGGCTGCTGAGGCGACGTATCCATCTAGATCTTGACGGCAGGGTTGGCGTCTAACGCTATAATCCGAGCAGCAGATCACATCCTTCCTCTGACAATGGCAGGTTTCCTGGTCCAAGAGAAGTCATAATTCTTTGTTGCCATCTTCCATAGAACTGTGGGCTGCTGAGGCGACATATCCATCTAGATCTTGACCGCAGGGTTGGCGTCTAACGCTATAATCCGAGCAGCAGATCACATCCTTCCGTTGAGTGTTTACACCTTGCGCTGGTATCTTCTCTATAAAATAACATTATTCAGCTTAACTCCATCATTCAACAACTGCGTCAGGCGAAATTACTGGTCAGTCGGCGTCACGCATTTTTCACAAAAATTTGCGTTTCACCTGCGGGGAGAGTATGCGTGTACTCGAGTCTCATCCTGAGCACGTTTTTTTCTCCGTTTTTTCAGCTCCAGTGTAGCCGTCCTCGATTGTTGTGTTCGTTGTTCAAACGAACTGGACATTCAATCATGAAGGCAGAGGACATAGGAGCCTGATTCGAGTTTCTCGTGCCATAGGACGGCCACACACAGACACTTTGGGATTTTCTGAATATAAAATACCGTACGCACGATGCTGAGATCAATTTGTGCGATATCAAATTGTTTGTGATCTACCACATCGAGCAGAACGGGATCCAAACACAAGCTTACCGACGGTTAGGCTGCCGACCTGACTGGAAAAATGATCCCTGGCTTCACCAGACGCCAGAAGTCGGACACCATGTCCCTTGCCGCGACGTCCATCTCCAAAAAGAACTCCATCTTCGTCGTGAAAAGGCTTGAAATACTCAATATTCAACCGAGATTCGCGGTCTCACCCTTTCTCAGATCGAATCATTTTTTGTTGTAGCAGTTGCAGGGCAGTTCCCCGCCACTACTTCAACAGAAGATGGCTCCAAACCATGCCTGGAACAAGCCATATCGAGGTTGCAAGCCACCCATCTCAGCACTTTTTTGAAGAAATTCAAAATTTCAATGGTGGAAGATATACTATGGAGAGAATTTCAAAAAGTATGTTTCGCGAGCGATCGCTCAACCTACGTCATTCAAACTTTGCAGGATGGTTCAGACATACATGCTAGGCATGGAACCACAGAAGATGATATCATAGCTGACACACAGAGTCACACACACAGCAGATTCGTGTGCACAGATACTAAATTAGTGGACGTCGTCATCTTCTTCCCGCTGATCTCAAATGTACTATGACGTGCTATTTCGCCTGACGGACTTGTCAGGAGTAATACTACTTGCTTTCGTGGAGTGTGGCTGGTGAACTGTTCGTGCTGTTGTCTGCAAGCGTCGCATGGTCTCGTCGGGTCAAATGAAAAACCTATTTACTACTATTTGACGGACCTATGGAAGATGGCAACAAAGAATTATTTATTATTTGCTCAACATCCGAGTTTCAAAAAAGAAAACATGAAAAGAAATGCAAAAGAATCTGCAGAGTTTCACACTGTACCTTTCTGTAGAATAGAGGTATGTGCTGATAAGTGGATGCTGCAGCGGCGGCAGCAGTCGGCGTGTGCCAGTCGGCAATGCACTGCGCCGTCATCTGCTCCACGTCCGCCTCCGATGCGGCCGACACTGCGCCCGATGGCCCGGCACCACCAGCAGCACCATCACTGGTACTGCTACCTGGATCAGAACAAAGCGAACGCAGAGTCTTTTTTTTTGAACAAGCGACGAGGGACAATACACTAAAACCTGTCCTAGAAGACCACCTGTCCTAGAAGACCACCTGTCCCAGAAGACCACTGAAACCTGGATCAAGGGATGCTATTACCTGTCAAATGACCCTGGATAAGAGACCACCTGGTAACAGAGAGCACATTTTGAAGGTCCATTGCGCCGTCGTCTCAGACAGCTGTTTCCCTGTAGTCACTGCAATAGTGCAATCAACTGATCAACTGATCAACTGATCAACTGATCAACTGGACAAGCTGCTGTTGCTGCATACACACACCCATACAATACTAAATACTCTTTAGTAAATTATAAGAAGAAAAAGAGGAGCAAAGAGCTACACGTTACGCTATAATATGCAGTAACACCACTGCAGTTACTTTACAATAAGCTCATGCGATAACATTGCACGGCACTGACCGACGGTACTGACGTTCTACACATAACTGGCAATCAGCTCTAGCACATCTCAGCTCTAGCACATCTTGTAATGTAACTGGTGTTGTTAGTGGATATTATAGCGTAACTTGTAGCTCTTTGGCCCTCTTTTCTTCTTATAAATGAATCCTTGGCTCTCCACCCGAGCCTAATTTACTAAAATTAGTAACAAAAATTCTGCTAGAAGAAATATGTAGACAGTCAAAAACCCTGGTACTGTAGATATTCAAATTTTCGCAGCTATTAAATTTCGGCTATATTCGGCACAGACCCAAAATGCCTAAATTAAAACGCCGATGAAATTTTTCACAGCATCTGTCGCACTATACCATGTACCATGCCCTCTACCCCAAGCCGAAAATAAATCGCCGCCGAAATGTCAAAAATCGTGAAGTGCCGAAATTTTGCAGGGCCGAAATTTTGTATATTTACAGTATGTCGATCCAGCTTGTACTATTGATTGCGTTTTGAAACTAGAGTCTTTCTCATTTTCTTTTTCACTGTGAACACAGCCCTGCTGGGAAACATGTGGCCAAGAACAACACAAAACAAGACACAGAGGTTGTAGGAAATACGTGACCGACGCACTGAGAGCCACTCGACCAACCAGAGGTCTCGGCGCTAGCCTCGCAATCAGGCATCGGGAGCGTGTACAACGAAGGGAATGGCGGGGTGGCGGGGTGAATCATTGAATGCATTCGATGAATATTTTCGGCGAAGTAAAGACACTTTGACTCATGTCGACTCCCAGGAAATGCAGCGCACGTTGCCGAACCTTATCCAGCTGGGTGCAGACAGAACAACACTGCAGAAGTATCCGGTCATAGTAACGACGAATCACGAGCATGACCGACAAGACTGTTGGGTGACAGCCAGGTGGGTATTCGGCAAGTGACGGGAGTCGTCCACACCACTCGCCAATGCATTGCCGGATCACCAAGATCACTCGCTGCATGGCTAACTTGCCGCATGTTGCCAATTTCAGTCCGTTCTTTTGTGCAAACTAGTCGTCGCCAAAAAAATCCACCCCTTGAAAGTAGCGCCAAGGCTCATACGGCTCATGCGGCCCTCGGATCAGTTTTGGGAACGTGCATGATGTACTGGTTAATGAAATGGAGACGTGGCACTAGTTTTGGCTCGCGGGTTGGCACTAGTTTTGGCTCGCGGGTTGGCACTAGTTTTGGCTCGCGGGTTGGCACTAGTTTTTTGGATTTCTTTGCCCAAGACTGTATGTGCATGGAAACAAAATAATTAAAACAAACAAAACGTAAAAAAAATCAACAAGTAGCTGAATTGCTTCACCGTACCCTTAGCTTCGACGAATTGCTGCAGCCTTTGCTCCCAGGACATCGTTGCCATACTCTCTGTGTGTGTGTGTGTGTGTGTGTGTGTGTGTGTGTGTGTGTGTGTGTGTGTGTGTGTGTGTGTATGTGTGTGGCACAAGCTGATTGTAGCCCGCGTGGTATTAGCCACTAGCCACTATTGTAGGCCAATAATTGGTACCTGATGGAGAAGTCCTCGCTCGCGAGCTGGGATCAGCACCACACGCAGGTAATACGTTGTTCAGTCCTGCAGCCGGCTACATTGCTACAGTGCGCTCACGTACGCCTACAAGTAGATGCGCTGCCGTCAGAGACCCCGGAGGAGCAGCGGGTTGTTGGAGAGAAATGACACGGAGAGAGTGGCTCTTGAAAGTTTGGAGTCACAGTTTTGTCCCCAGCAATGCACAAGCTGCTGTTGCCTTACTTCACAACGACCACACTGGCACTGCTTGCGGCGTTGAACGTCTGCAAAAAAACTGTCCAGTCCCAGGCTCAACACTGGGCCATTGGTTGAATCGTATTGTTTTGATTGACATTGCAGTAAACAATTTTAGCTGGTTGAAACTCGCCTCAGTTCTCAACTAGTCTTTGCATGTAGCTGCGAAGGCAAGGCCAAGGTTGTTTTGTCAATCAGCAGTCAGAAGAAATAAGTAGTTTTGCGATCAAAAGATTCAAAACACAAAACAAACGCGCTTTCCGCGGGCCAGATGATGGCCCAGATCTGCACGATCACGACTCACCAGTCTACGCTGCGGGTGTACCAGTGCATGCATGACATGACAGCGAGACACTTCGTCGCGAGCCATCTCGATACGAGGTGGTCATCGAATGACTCGACTGTGCGATTTCATGGGGGGGGGGGGGGGGGTTCGGCGCTGAATGCATTCGATGAGTATTTTTGGCGAAGTTTTGACTCATGTTGACTCCCAGGAAATGCAGCGCAAGTTGCTGAACCTTATCCAGCCCGTTGAAGTTAGTTGTGACAGCACTCGACCAGGCCAGTGGGGCTATGCCGGCATAATCCGCCGGAGCCTAGGGCGCGACAAGTGACGAAATCCAGCATTCTGTGTCTGACTATATCAGTCGGACTTTATCACTCCCTTAGTATTGACTCACATAGATTTTTGCCATACCTAAGCAGTCAAATATTCCTGCATATTTCACTCCTTAGGGCTATATTGACCGCTTATATTTGACTCCTTAGGGGTTGCGCAGTTGAACGGTGCCTAGTGCAGCAGTTTCACTGCATGAGTAGGCCGTGGTGCAACGGCTGTGCAATCATAAAACCGGGATTCATGAGGTTATCGTTCTGGAATTTGAAATACGGACTGTTTGTCGTGATAAATCTAATATTGACTTCGTACTTGGTCAGTATAGGAAATATAAACCTCGTAAAAGACCTCGGCTTCGCCTCGGTCTTTTACTCGGCTTTTATTTCCTATATTGACCTCGTACTCAGTCAATATTAGATACGTAAAAAATAATAATAAAAAAGTAGGAACTCACGACGGCCGCTAACACCCGGTAAACCCTAAGGGTTCATCTGACTGTGAGCGTCTATTTAGAAAAGCGATCCTGTCAGCTTTTCTATTATTTTAGAAAAGCGATCCTGTCAGCTTTTCTATTATTGTGTTCACATGGGAGAAAAAACGACATCGCTATGCTACGTAAGTTTCTACGTAAGGTGCTCGGTATTTCACTTAGGCTACGTAAGTCTCTACGTAACGTGCTCGGTATTAGATCTACCAACGCGTGGTAGCCGTGTGCTGTGCACGTGCACGGCAGACATTGTGTTCAGTGCACATGCATGCAGTCCGCGGATCGGTGTTCGGATGTGCATGCGCGAGGAACTTCCTTCTTTGGAACTGCTTCTTGCATGAGCTGTTTCGGATATTTCGTCTCATGGCCTGGCTTATTTCGTTTCGGCGCTGCTGAGACCTCCTTTCGCGGAATATTACTCAATGACAGGTGAGTTGACCAGTTGCCTTTGATTCATTTGCTTGTGTTGACTCTTTCATTCAGGAAAAGTGTGCTGATTTTGGGGCGGAATGCAATAAATAATGGAAAAGCTGACAGGATCTCTTTTCTAAATTTTGCTTTTCTGCTGCCGAGCTGCGAGGCCTCCTTTTACGGAATACTCGATGACAGGTGATCTCCAAGTTTACCGGTTTCCTTCGATTCATTTGCTTATGTTCACCTTTCATTTACGGAAACGTGTGCTGATTTTATTTGGATTTAGATCCATTTTTATCTCTTTGCCCTTGTCTACAGTGTGCGAAGAACGCGAGTTCAACTTCTTGACGGTAAGGCTTATGTTAGATGTGTTGTCGAAATACTCATATTCATTGTACATTGGTACGTTACAAGTAAGGCACTGGTCAGTGGCATACTATCGTTGGCAGTTCCCAATCTGGAGGGAAAGGTTCAAGTACCAATTGACCGAGTTTGAAAAATAAATTCGCATATTAGGGGAAATCTCTATTGTGGAGAGGTTCAGTAACTTGTTTGTTTCATACGAAACAAGCCAATGGGTGGAGTCCCGTCTCGTGAAAATCTCGTTTGCGCGGGCCAAGTGCACGTACGCCATGACCCGATCTCACGAAATTTCCTACGACAGTTCATTTCGCGTTCCCTGCAAGTTTCGCGTCCAAAGGTGCGAAGTTTCGCACTTCATGATGTAGAGCGAAAGTTTGTACGCATTTTCGTTTTGCAGAATCTCTCTAGTGACTCGATTGTTTCATACGAGACGAGTCAATGAGTCTGTGTGGCTTAGAATCTTTCGCTGTAGAAGAAATCTATTCGTATGTCTATTGGAGAAATAATTGTATTCACTGGTTATAAAATAGGTTAAGACAAACTCACAGAATAAAATACCATCGGTCCCTTGGTGTTCGTCCTAAAGAGGTTCGACTGGATATCATTCATACTCACCAAAAGATATGTAAGATTTTATCATTGTGGAGTGCCTTGTTTATCTCTCAGTACCTCCAACCATAGCCTTGCCCCTTTTCTCCTCAGGATCAGTGTAGTTGTTGGAACGAGGTTTTGGACTCAGCAATGTATTCGTTTACATTTTAATACATGTTTATTGTTCCTCCTTTGCTGTGTTGTTTTAGACAATCGTGGACTAACAGTTTGAAGTCATTGAACTACTTCCAAAAGTTGTATCGACATCAACAGGATTACGATTTCAGTTTCAATATGATGCTGGATGACCTTATCACGATAACCCATGACTATAAACCATTATAAACACAGAATCAACAAAAACATCTGCGACACGCACCTGGCGCATGGCTACATTTCTCAAATAAATCTGATTGAGGGTGGAGAAATCTGAAATATCTGAAAGGCAAGACAATTTTATGACAGAGTCATGAAATTCTGCAACAGCAACATGCACAGAATGACCTCCGTATAAAAAAAGTATCACCACCACTGCTCACACGTTTCCCCGCAGAAGAACATGCATTATTCTAGTGCCATTTTCTGCAAGAAAAGGCTTGCACATCAATGCGTATAATATGGTATTGATATGATGTGAAGGCCATCATTTACATATTGATATAGGGAATTCCATTGATTGGTGACAGAAAAAACAAAAGAAATTATAGCAATAAAAACTGCTTTATGGCAGTTTTCTAAAAAAGGTTATTGTGTTCTAGTCCATGGACCCCGTCTAAAAAGTAAGAAATTAACGAAATGTGATAGCTGAAAATTAAAATTTCACACAAAACCTCACAATAATCACAACACTTGAAATGCTGCTTTCAACACTAAACTTGTACTGCACCAACAATTGGCAACATGCATGCATAGGAAAGAGGATCACGAGGGGAAAAGGTCTTCTGCATGTAGCTTTTCATTCTGTGTGTGATTATTGTGAGGTTTTGTGTGAAATTTTAATTTTCAGCTATCACATTTCGTTAATTTCTTACTTTTTAGACGGGGTCCATGGACTAGAACACAATAACCTTTTTTAGAAAACTGCCATAAAGCAGTTTTTATTGCTATTATTGTGTTCACATGGCGCTACCTAACGACACCGCTATTCAGACACGTTGTCTACGTAGCTACGTAAGTTTCTACGTAAGATGCTCGGTACCTGGTCCTGGACCAGGGAGCTACTCCATGGCTCCTACCATCGCGCGGCCGGCTGGCCGCATGCGTGTGCATTGCAGACTTTTTGTTGTTGCCTTTTCGGATGTGCATGCACGAGGAACTAACTTCCTTCTTTGGAACTGCTTCTTGCATGAGCTGTTTCGGATATTTCGTCTCCTGGCCTGGCTTATTTCGTTTCGGCGCTGCTGAGACCTCCTTTCGCGGAATATTACTCAATGACAGGTGAGTTGACCAGTTCCCTTTGATTCATTTGCTTGTGTTGACTCTTTCATTTACGAAAAGTGTGCTGATTTTGGGCGGAATGCAATAAATAATGGAAAAGCTGACAGGATCTCCTTTCTAAATTTAGCTTTTCCGCTGCCGAGGCTTCCTTTTACGGAATACTCAATGACAGGTGATCTCTGAGTTGACCAGTTCCCTTCGATTCATTTGCTTATGCTCACCCTTTCATTTACGGAAACGTGTGCTGATTTTATTCGGATTTAGGTCCATTTTTATCTCTTTGCCCTTGTCTACAGTGTGCGAAGAACGCGAGTTCACCCTCTTGACGGTAAGGCTTATGTTAGATGTGTTGTCGAAATACTCATATTCATTGCACATTAGTACGTTACAAGTAAGGCACTGGTCAATGGCATACTATCATTGGCAGTTCCCAATCTGGAGGGAAAGGTTCAAGGACTCATTGACCGAGTTTGCCAAATAAATTCGCATATCAGGGAAAATCTCCATTGTGGAGAGGTTCAGTAACTTGTTTGCTTCATACGAAACAAGCCAATGGGTGCAGTCTCGTCTCGTGAAAATCTCGTACTTGTATGATTGGATTTGTTTACTCGATCGAGTCTGGGCTGTTTGATTTTGTGAGTACCGCCGAGATTGCACTGCCCCAAATAAAGTTTCGTGCCGCCAAAGCAAGAATTA